GGAGTCTTAGTACTCCCTGATTGAGTCCAAGTACCCCAAACGGGTTGCTCACACGGCTGACCCAGTTCTGGAGCAGACACTGACGTACACGTCCATCGTAAATACAGAATGGATCTGCTAAAATGGTTAGTACCGAAACATCCGAAGGGTAGAGTAACCGGAGGCTGGGCTGTAGTCTCCGTGTTGTTGAAGTAGCGGCAGATGTGTGACGGGTCACTTTGCACAGACTGCAGATTACTAGCAGTACTGCTACTGACAACTACTCCGCCATGCAAGATGCCAAAGGTCAGGGACATACCGATGCAACCGAATACCAGCTGTAACAGACAGAGAATGTAAGATACCCATCAAAACATTGCGTGATATTTAGAAATATTTTACTGGGATTGAATGGGTAATCCTGAAATATAGAGTATTACAATTATTATTATTAACATGTTGGTAGGAGTGCTGACTGGAAAGTCAAAATAGTATCATTTCTTTGAAGAGGGATACCGTATTTTACCGGTTGTAAGTCGACCCCGGTTGTTGCAAACCACCAGTTCTCAATTGGGAAAGGCCTTCGCGCTTATGGCGTTGTATTCGTCGCAATGTTGTCTTTCGACTCCGCCGTACCGCTGATGTTGCTGCATGGCATACGCTATATGCGCTGTGTGTGTTTTGCTGTATACGCTGTTATGTCCAGTTTTATATGCTTATGTTTTGCATGTACGCTGTTTTTGCATGCTATAAATAGCTGGTGTTATTAGTGTTCATTGTTAATTATCAGATGAAGTGAAATATACTGTGTAAAGGAAAACAGTTGTCCTCGTGCCGTGTGGTCGTACGATCCTGACAATTTAGAGAATCTTAGAGGGTTCATAACATTTGGCGACCACGCCAGGATAGGAGCGAGCATGGCAGAGGAACTATGGAACAATTTGGAAGCCAGCTTTATCGACAATGGAGAGCGGTTAGGATTAGAAGGCGAGTTGTTGAAGGTACATGTGGAGCAAAGGCTCCAACAGTACGCGGAGCGTGAGGAGCGCAGTGCCAGACGGCGAGAGGAGGCGCTCCGCACCGAGTTTGCCAAAACACTAAACGAGATTAACGAGCGCATCGCCAATGCGCATGAGGGTGAGGGTAAAGCCGCGATGGGAGGTACAGAGGAATCTCCCAGTCACAGCGGGGGGGGCGTCAACCGTTGATGAAAATCCCCTCATATGATGGAACGCAGCCATTGGAGCGTTATCTTGACCTGTTCGAGGACATCTGTTCCAAGAACGAGTTCGAAGAAAGCGAATGGCTGCTGCGACTGCGCATCGCGCTAGCGGGTAGCAAAGCGGAGAGGATATGTATTGGATGCAACAATTACGAGGAAGCAAAGCGAGAGTTGCTTGCCTCGCTCGGAAAGACTCCGGATAAAGCGTGGAAGACATTGCTGACAGGCAAGCAGCGGTCAGATGAGTCGTTTCATCAATACGTTGTCCGTGTTTGCCGAGAGGTAGAGGTGTGGGCCACACTCGCTATGACAGAAGATGGCGAGGTGGGCACCAAGTATAGCGCCGATATAGGTAAAATGGCCCCGGTGCTGCAAGCAATGGCAAAGCAGGTAATCTTGGAGCAATGCGGACCTGAGATGAAGACGTACCTGGTCGAACGGCAGTGCTACGGGATGTCACTGCGCCAGGTACAGGAGCACGGCGCGTCTTACCAGGTCGCGCACGGACGACAGGGTGATACTGCCAGGAAGCCAGTAGAACGATCCGTGCCAAGGCTCACGGCGTCGGCACAGTGCATGGCGATATCGGTTGCAGATGCAGAGAAGCAGCTAAAGTCGCTGCCACAGGAAGAGAGAAAGGGTTTTCTGCAGCGAGAGAGACTCTGCTGGAACTGCCTTAAGTATGGCCATATGGCCAGAGAATGTCGGTCAGGCTCGAGATGCACGAAATGCCAGAGGAAACACCACCTGCTAATACATGATGTGTTGGATAGAGCAGGTTACAGCCGGGAGAAACCGACTGAGATAGTTACGGAGAAGAATGTTGGGTCGTGCTGTCTACACTCGCCAAGTGTGCGGCTGATGACCGGAGTGGCACGAGTTGAGGGAAGAACTCGAAACGCGAAGGTTCGCGTGTTCCTGGACTCGGGTGCTGAGGCGTCATTCGTGACTGCAGCGTTGGTGTCAGCAATCGATGCAGAACACGTTGGGGTTGAAAATGTAGAGGTGAAGCCGTTCGGCGCGGAACCAACCCAACAGCGCATGGATAAGTACGCCATCACGATCCAGGGTAGCTCCGCTAGCATTCGGGTACGCGCGTTCGTGAAACCAACGCTTGAGCTGGACCTGAAGTGCGCAAGTCCGCAGACCATTGCGCAGTGGCACAGTTGGGGAGTCGAGCTGAGTGACAAGCCTCAACAAGGGACATCAGACGAAATACATATGCTGATTGGTGCAGACTATATCAACGCGGTACTGCACAGCAAGAAGGAAGTTAATGGTGAGACGGTGTGGAACACAGAGATAGGTAATGTATTATCTGGTCCAGCGTCTGCACCAAGTCGAAACAGTCAGCCGGTGCCCGTGTCATGTGTCACAGCCCACATTGAACAACATTGGCAGTTGGATGAACCTCCAGAACAACATCAGCACCTGCCATCGTTCCCGCTATGTCGCCAGGGCAGCGGGTACCAAGTGGGTCTCTTGTGGCGAAATGAGCGTCGCCCAACGGATAACTTTACTCAAGCTAGAGTCATCGCAACGCGGCTTCTTGAAAAGCTGAAGAGGAATGGGAAGCGTACGCTCTATGATGATGTGCTGATCAGGGAGTACCGTGAGCTTGGAGCAATTGAGCTGGAGCCATGTGAGAGCGATGCCGGGTACTATGTACCGCATCATGGTGTATTCCGCGAGCACGCTGCAACCACGAAGTTAAGAGTGGTGTTCAATGCCTCGGCGACGGCTCCAGATGGCAAGTCGTTGAACGACATGGTTGACCCTGGACCTTCGCTATTGCCGAGTCTCGCAGGTATGCTATTACGGTTCCGTGAATATAAGAGCGCGCTGCAAGCGGACATCCGCAAGGCTTTCTTCATGGTCGCGGTTAATCCCGAAGACCGTCCGTACCTGCGTTTCTTGTGGCCCGGTCGAAGCGACAGCGATGAACTGTTAACCTGGAGGCTAACGAAACTGCCATTTGGCGTAAACTGCTCGCCGTACATGCTTACTGCGGTGATTCAGCATCACTTGAAGGAGCTACGGGCGTTGTCTGCACCCAAAGAGCGAGATCGTATTGATCTCTTGCTCACGAGTTTCTACGTTGACGATTTGGTCTCTAGTGTCTCAAATGCCTCGGAAGCCAAGGAGATGCAAGAGTTCAGCGTGCGTGTGCTTACGGATGCTGGCATGGAGTTACGCAAGTGGCGAGGCAACGAAATCCCGTGCGATCCAGAGGCCGGAGATAAAGTCCTCGGTCTGAAATGGAAAACCAGTGATGACTTGCTCAGCATAGCAGCGCTAGGCGAGTCCGATAGGCCGTCTGTTTGGACCCGGCGATCCCTCCTCAAGTGTGTTGCATCAGTGTTTGATCCGCTAGGTCTAGCAGCACCGGCAGTTGTGCCGGGAAAGATACTGCTACAGCAAGCCTGGAAAGTCGGAGGCGACTGGGATGATATGTTGCCTGATGGCATCGCAGCCGCATGTGCGCAATGGTGGGGAGAGTTGGCCGAAGTGGTGAGCATTGACATACCACGTTGGATTTGCTGCAATCTTGACACGCCGATTGCGCTTCATGCCTTCGCCGATGCCAGTGAGAAAGCGTTTGGATGTTGTTTGTATGCCGTCGTCTATGGACAGTCGCACTTGGTATTTGCCAAGGCCAAAGTGGCACCTGTGTCTCCGCCCACGTTAGCCCGCCTTGAGTTACAAGCAGTATGTCTAGCGGCTCGCTACGCTGAGTTTGTGGTGAAGGAGCTGCGTGTGACCGTCACGCAAGTCTATGGCTGGACTGACAGTCTCACTACCGTTCATTGGATCAGTAATCCATCGTACAAATGGAAAACATTTGTGGCTAACCGCGTCAGTCAAGTCCAAGAGATATCGAAGAAGGTCGGCATTGTGTGGAACCATTGCCCGGGCCTTCACAACCCAGCAGATTTACCGTCGCGTGGGAGTAGTGCACAGCAGATCCGTAGTCCGTTCTGGAGGGGCGGACCAACCTGGATCACGGAGCCCAATGACTGGCCCACCGCATCCTCAACCGCAGCTACAGATGAGTCCAGTGTAGAGGTACGAGTGTCAGCCACCACCTGTAGTCGAGAACATGGCCAGGAATCGAGGACATCTGGGAGTCGTAATTTTTACACTCCCGGCGGTGTGAGATTTGGCTGCGCCTCGCCTGCAGCTTCCGCGAGATGCTCGGTTGTACAGAACTCGGACCAGAAGTGACCGTTTATGGCGTTCAAGTAGAGAGTACTAGTAGTAGTACTAGTAGTCTTCTTCAAGGTTTTTTTCTCAGTTTTTCTTAGTTTAGTTTTGGAATTCTGTGGCCATGAGTCGGAGGTCCCGAGTAGATTACAAGGCGCTGAATCGTACGTCAACTGCCGATTTCCTTCCAAGTACACGTCGAACTCTATCCCGTGGAGAAGACGACGGCGTGTATAGGGCCAGCTATCTGCTTGACAAGCGACGGAGAAAGAGGAAGGTGAGAATTTGAATATTGTCGATATTAGTTGCAATCACATATTTTCTCGGCTGACAATGGAGCAAAACCTTCTTGCGTGTTTGGCAACAGGTTCAGTACCTCGTCAAGTGGCTGGGATATTCTGCTAGGGAGAGCTCTTGGGTGGAAGCCATTGACATAACGGAGGATTTGATTCGGTGAGGATGTATTTGTCATTGCTGAGTATTCGTTGTAATTGGTCAGCACAGTGCTGCACCACACTGCAAGTTTGCCAACATCACTCACTGAAAGTCCAGTTTTTTCGTGGCCTATGTCGTGCAGCACTAATGACCTGACGGATTCGTAGCCCATGTATGTCTTGAAATTACGAATAGTATTATAAGTTCAGGGAATATTATTTCAAAAAATATACATAATTATAATTATGTTGGGGTCCACTCCAACAATGTGGACGTGAACAGTTTGGAACAAGTTATTCCTTGGCTCAACATCTGTATTACATAATTCTTGTCTTTGTAGGGCATTTGAGTCTGGCGTTTGCGAGAGCAATTTCTCGCCAGATGAGCTTCACGCCGCTGCTGACAGCTTTATTATAGCGGTACAGAAAAGGCTGCGTTCTGGTGCCGCAATCGGGGAGCCATTTCATTGTCGGCGTGACATCCTCATGTGCTGGTTTGGTGACAAACCAAAGAACAGGGGTGCATGGACGCTTGACAGAAAAGATTTCCCCGGAAAGTACTTCCTGCCAGGTTGGGACAGGGTGTTAGATCAGTTTGGTCAAGGTCCTCAAGTGGTCTATCCCATTACCCTGCGACCTACAGTACGTAGGTCACCCAAAAATCACACTAGGGGTGAGGCAGGGCACATAGTTGCAGTACAACAAGTTGCTGTGCAGTACGGGTCTGTGAACTTCGCTCAGCAGCAGTGCAAGGAATTTGCCACATGAATGGTGAGGTCAGAGAAAGAAACATAATGCTCCGTTGTTATTTAATAGGTGTGTTGTATATTGACTGTGCTGCAAAATGTTGTTTCAAATAAAAGGAGGGGGCTAGGGCATTCAGGGTTCCAAGAATGACCGAACGAAGTGGTTCTCTTCCTAATGCAGGGGAGTGTGAAGGAGATTGCACAAAATACGTTCTATATATGAATGAATAGAAATTAAAAAATATTCTGGATTTTCGTGCCATTGAGATTGCACAAAATACGTTCTATAATATCAGTGAATAGAAATAAATATTCTGGATCTTCATGGCTTTGAGATTGCACAAAATACGTTCCGTATATCAGTGAATAGAAATAAATCTTAATAGCTGTTGGCTGCTTAACGGCTGATTCGTTTTCTTTTCCTTCTGCTCTCCTTGATGTTGGCGGTCCAGTATTCCTCGTCTTTTTTCTTGTATTTTCTCTTCTCTCTGCAGTGGTGGCTCAGTATCTGACGGCGTCCGCTATGCAGCAGTACATCAGCACATGCATCCCACTTGTTGCTCTTCTGCATGTGACTCCGCCGTGCTTCATCGTTGGTCTTCTCAACGCCTGTAGCCAATAATAGCCAGGTAAAAATGTCTCGTTAACTGCTATCCAATATCACTCGTAAAAAGACATCTTTCTGAATAGTGCTGCCGTGATGTATACAACAAGGAGGGACATGTCTGCATTTGCAAGGTCTATTTTGGCTAATTAAATGCACTGTACAATGACCATTGACTTGGCACCTCACCATTTCCAGTGAACTGCTTCAAGTTGCCAAACCGTCGAATAATATCCGGGCAATGGAATAGCATGGCATGAATGTAAGGTGTAACACGCTTCTTGCCGAAGCCGGGTGCGGTAAATCCCAACTCGCAGAATCGCTTGATCCACGTCTTCATCTACATGAAGATTAGAGCAGTAACACGAGAAGCAGCAGTAAGAAAATAGTATCAAAAGAGGTTCGTTCGTTCATGACCTTTGTATTGATATCTTATATCACAGTGTTTCCCTCATACATGAATACCTTCTATAAAAGTAGCTCTCCTGCCACACCTATACCTTTTCCTCAAGTTGAGTTATCTCGCCATCAGTGAACTCTTCTTTTCCCAGATTGGCGTAGATATCATTGAACGTCTGCAAATCACACACACACACAGGATAGCACACGAAAAAGAAATATTCATAGTCGTTGCTCTACCTTTCTCAGTAAGCATTAGTTCAATTGATGTCCCCAACACACAGGCCTCTCACGTAATAGAATGCATTGTATTTTCATAGAGCCATGTTTAAGACCCTTACCGTCCACATGAGCAGAACGTCGTTCTCCGTGTCTGCATTCAGTGCGCCACTTCCCTCCAGCTTCTCGGGCAGATTCTGGAGCAGTATTTTTTTATCGGGCCCCATCAGACTGGTGAAGTCCAGGCGGCCACTGCCTGAGCCGTCGGCATTAGTCTTTTCCCACACACTGAAGCTGACACCGCATGCACTGATGGCGGTGACCAGCATTTCAGTGTGTGGGCCAGCAAGCGTCTTCGACTTGGCCTGCTTGTCGAGCCACATTGTCTGCTGCAGCAAATTGTCCGTCAGGACATCGGTAATCCTCAACATAAGGTGCAGCTCGTCTATAACAACTTGCTCCAATGGCAAGTTGACAAGGGGCTTGGCTTTCTGGCCAAACTTATTACCGCGTTTCGGCGGTCCCGCCTCTGCAGCCGATGGTACGACGGGGTTTTGGGTTTGTAGTTCCCCCATGGATCTTGCCAATGGGGGATCCGTGTATTTGTTCGAGGGAAAGTCGACATTCCACCTGGAAGAAAATGGCAAGAACAAGATCAAAATCTTTCGTTAAACTGTATCTGCCGTAGCATTTTCAAATGTTGAAACGAACATTTGATTGGGTTCTCTCTCTTCACATTACCGTTGAGATCAGAAGTATTAAACGTTTGTGACTTTACCTGTGGTCTTTGTGTACTTTACACCAACAGCACGCGTGATGCGCTGTCGCTGCACTCAAGCCAAGCACCAGACCCAGGAACTGCAGCGGAAAAAGCAAGAACATAGCAGCAAGGTATGCTTATTCACTGCTATACAGTGTCATGCTATGTGTGTTTGTTGTCATCGTCGTCAGCCTCATTCCTAGGTTTTACTCAATATACTGTAAAGTAGAATTGTCTCTTTCCCCTTTACCGGGAGACGACAGTGCAAATACACAGACATGGAAATTCTGAGTGTATTTTACCTTGAGATCTCCACCCAAAATAGTCTCGACTGCCACCTCCTTGCCCTTCACAACGACCTTCTTGTCAGCAGCAAGCTTGCTTACTTGAAACCACACATCCTTCAGTGAGGTCTCGAGAGTTGCATAGGACTCTGGGCCATTCACAACAGCAATCACATGGTTTCCTGGATAAACAACAAACAGGTGTGATTTTACAACTCGTATGTTTAGTATGCGAAATCTTTCGTGCACTGGGCAAACCCCGGCTTCGGCGTTTGCACAGTGGACGAAAGATTTTGGCTTCGGGGTTTGCACAGTGCACGAAAGATTTTGCATACTGAAACGTGGATCATGAGTGTAGTATGTGTGTACAATTTGTGCTGAAAGACTTTGGGCCGTCAGGCATATAACTCACCCTTCGGGGACGAATATTGCTCGATGTCGAGTAGGGAATACGTCACGATGACAAAATTGCTCTTCCGGGACATCCTGGCGCCATCGCAACTCACCCTCACGCGGACCTTGGGTGGGATATCATCCTGGACGGGAAAACAAATATATCAGCTTAGGGAAAATGGCGCCTAACCTAATTGCAATGGTAGTACAAGCTGACTGTGAATTAATGAGCCCCACCTCAAAAATCACCTACCATGTCTCCCAACTGAGCTGTTATGGCGTGAAGCAGATTCCTCTGTGCTCCAGCATGTGGTCCTGGCACTTTTTCAATATCCTTGCCAATTGTGGCATTCAGGTGGCTCCTGCACTCCTTTACGGTGTGCAGTTTTGGCAAGCTGCAGCTAGCTGGCGCAATCTGCAGCAGACGAGTTGAAAAATTCCACTTTTATTATTATTCACTGGTTTGAGGGAAAGACACAAATGGGAAAAATTATTATTGGTCGTGTAGGTCACTCACACTGCACTAAAGATCATAAACTTTTGCATGAATCCACTTAGGGTGCGAAAGACATGCGAAGGACATGTTACATTATTGCCGTGAAAACTTGTGGACCAACGGCTACATAATATTCCAACTCAGCATAGCAGCTTATAACTTACCTGAATTAACTCATGATAGAGGACATCACTGCCGCAAAACTGGTCAAGCACGAACAAGGTCTTTTCAATTTGCTCGCGTTCGCCGTCCGTCATCTCATCGTACGATTTGTTCTCTGAGGAAGTAAACACGCATACCACAAAGAAAAAAAAGAATAAATATACAATTGCACCATCCATCTCTGTGCAAGGGAAACGAAATGCATTATGCAGCACTGCGTTGACTTGCCTTTTTCAGTGAGCTGCAATGTAGTCGTACTCTGGTCATCTTTGTTCCGGAGCACGACACTTTCTAGGCTGAAGCCGAACGACTCTGTAAACCACAGCGCCGAATGCACTTGATCTCTCAGTCTCGACATTCTTCTATTCCTCTGACGAGGGCTGATTGCGTCTAACGGCTTCCCTCTCATAAGCAAATTTTTGTCCTTGTCGTTCTGTTTCTCGATATCCCTCTCCAGCTCCACCACACGCCTCTGCATGGCAGCCAAGTCGCTGACGCTGGCGTTGCTGACGATGTCAGCTTCATCAAGCCGCAGCTCATAGGTTCGCCCTGGAAAGGAGGAGATTCAGAATCACAATATTCCTTTGATACCATTCTTTATTTTCATCACTATTCTCACTATGGTACAATATTATCAGTGCTTACCTTTGTAACATATTTCAGCACTTTTCTTCTTCTTTTTTCTCTGCTGCTCGAAGCAGTAACGTGCCTTCTGCACTTTCTCAAAGAGCTCCCGTTGCCTGCCATCCTTGATGGTAATCTTTCCTCCGGCCTCTGTTTTACTGAAAAAATCGTTCCAGTCCTTGTGCTGGGAACATAGAACACTCAGTGGAACCTCCACAACAATACCTTGTCCTGTCTTGGTCTGGCTCTGGCTCTGGCTCCCCTCAGTCTGGGCTGACTGTGCTGACACAAGGGTGTCAGTTGTAACAGTAACTGAGGAAGAGGATGCCATGTTGGCAGAGGGCACATGTCACACTTCTGCACTGTGACTGGAGAGTGGAAGTGCCCCTGCTCTAGCCATTTATAGGAATCTGTTGATGGATGCAGTTCATTTTCCCACACTTTTTGGGCTGCTATGGAGACTGTCTTGTGACATCTCTCTAGCCATTTCTAGGAATTAGTTCATTTTTCCCACACTTTTTGGGCTACTATAGAGACAGTCTTGTGATTGGTTGGGGCTAGCACATGATCATGTCAACCATAGTGTTGCATGGACCATGGGCTACTATGGAGATTTTCTTGTGATTGGTTGAGCCTAGCATGCACATGAGTCGTGACTACATCATATCAACCATACTTGTAGCATGGGCCATGGGCTACTATGGAGATTATTCTTGTGATTGGTTGAGCCTGGCCTGGGCCAAGACTGCTGCACGAGGAACAGTGACAGATAGTAGTCGTCAGCCAAACAATCTGAGAAAAAAAACAGTCCTTGGTTGATGCTAGCTGTGATGTAGCCAGTCAAACTCAAAGTTTGTTAGTTGCTGTTTGGATCAGAAACGCTGGCTTGGACTGTTTACTGCGCGTTCTCATGTACTCAGGCATGCAGGTTTACTCGTATTTTAGGTTTTTGGCCGGAATGGAGGCTGCTCTGCGCCCCTTGGTGAACATTACCTGTGCTCGTGGAGCAGCTGAAAAGGACCACTGGTATGTCTGCTTCATGGTTTGAAAGTGGAGAGTCGACTTTGGTGCCTTGAAAAAGTAGTAGAGAGCGATAAAGGTACGTCTGTAGCTTAGTTTTGAGTGCTCCTCGTACATTTTTGATCGTGATAGAAAATTTCGCAGCCCAAAGTCAGACCAAAGTCAGCGCGATGATGGCCGATCAGTTTTCTTGTGGATTTTTTAGTTGTTTCGTCTCGTATCTATGTCAGTATCGTGATGGTGAAGTGGAGAGGGTGATTTTCTTCCTCTGGGCTTCGTTCGGCCGACTTTGCTTCGTCCTCGTTGAAAAGTGATGCTGAAAAAAAGGTCGATTCGCAAAATTATGTTGATTTTGAATGTACGTGATGACATGCCATTGCTGGCTATGATCTGATCAGGAATGGTGGCTCCGATTCAGTAAATGGTCGAGGGCACAGGGCATGGTGACTCGGATGTTGCAGTGGAAGCACACTGAGCCTCGTGCTGAACTCTATTTTGCAGCAGACAACGTATTGTACCGCATCGTTCAAGCCGCATGTTTCGCTGAGGATCTTGAGCTGATCAAGCAAGGTCAACCAGTGAAGCCTGGGTCGAAGGTGTATCAGCTTGCACCGTTTCTGGATGAGCATGGAGTGCTCAGAGCCGGGGGACGACTTCAGCACAGCGAGTTGGCGTATGGAGCCAAGCACCCAGTCCTGTTAGGCAAACATCATCTGACCGAGTTGCTGTTGGAGAAAATGCATGTTGAAAGGATGCACCAAGGTGTAGAAGGAGTCTTGTCGTTCATCCGTCAGAAATTTTGGATTATCGGTGGTCGACGGGCGCTACGCAACATTACTCAGCGATGTGTTACATGCCGCCGCTACAAGGCTAAGGCTGCCTCAGAAGTCTGCCCGCCGCTGCCGGAAGACCGAGTTGTTCACGAGAGGCCGTTCGCAACTACCGGCATCGACTATGCTGGTCCGTTGTACGTGCGCCGTGGTGAGTCATCTCCGAAGGTATGGATAGCATTGTTTGTGTGTGCCACCACCAGAGCAGTTCACTTGGAGGTGGTCGATAGTTTAAGTACTGAGTCATTCTTGATAGCATTTCGGAAGTTTGTCGCGAGACGTAGTTTGCCGTCTCGGATCAGGTCTGACAACGCTACAACGTTCAAGGCGGCATCTGACAAACTGAGTGTGCCATGGATGTTCAATCCTCCAGCTGCACCATGGCATGGAGGCTTCTATGAGAGAATGGTTGGTACAGTGAAGAGTGCCTTGAAAAAGGTAATGGGAACAGCGTTTCTGAAGGTCCAGGAGCTTGAGACCCTCTTGTATGAGGTTGAAGCAGTGGTGAATAGTCGTCCGCTAACTTATGTGTCTGATAGCCTGGATGAGCCACCAGTAACCCCTGCAATGATGATGGGTGACATCTGGATGTCGTCCGAGAAGCCAGCAGGTACCCTGGACGCTGCGCAGATGTCATCGAGATTGCGTTACCTCAGTCGGACACTGGAGCATGTCAAGAATCGTTGGGAGGTGGAGGGGGGGGAGTACCTAAGTCAGCTGAACAAACACCAACAAACCATGTCGCGCCCTTTAGCTGTGGGTGATGTGGTCTTTGTTCTCGATGATACCAAGCGCAAACAGTTCTGGCGTTTGGGACGGATCATCGAGTTATTCCCTGGTCGAGATGGTAAGCGTCGTGTTGCCAAGGTTAAGTTGAGTACCAGTACCCTGTTGAGGCCGATCCAAAGGTTAGTGCCGTTAGAAGTATCGTCACAGGACGTGGCTCCTGGGCTTGCCGATACCGCTCAACCGGCTATCGTCCCTCAGCAGCCAGCGTATGAACCGTCAGCACCGTTACCACCACCACGGTTGCAGGAGATGACGCGTTCTGGGCGCGTAGTCAGAGCCCCGGATCGTTTTGACTTGTGTGCATTGTTGTACGGCGGTGAGAAGCCCTTTGGTGGGGAGAATGTTGCAAACCACCAGTTCTCAATTGGGAAAGGCCTTCGCGCTTATGGCGTTGTATTCGTCGCAATGTTGTCTTTCGACTCCGCCGTACCGCTGATGTTGCTGCATGGCATACGCTATATGCGCTGTGTGTGTTTTGCTGTATACGCTGTTATGTCCAGTTTTATATGCTTATGTTTTGCATGTACGCTGTTTTTGCATGCTATAAATAGCTGGTGTTATTAGTGTTCATTGTTAATTATCAGATGAAGTGAAATATACTGTGTAAAGGAAAACAGTTGTCCTCGTGCCGTGTGGTCGTACGATCCTGACAATTTAGAGAATCTTAGAGGGTTCATAACACCGGTTATAAGGCGACCCCCGTATCCGGAGGTCTCAATTCTGCGTTTTGAAGTTTTCACCAAAAGAAGCACTACTAACCACACACTGCTACTGACACATCAACAAATCATGTAAACATTCCTTATTGGAGGGTATAATGTCCCAATCCTTGAAAAAGGCCAATAAACTGGCAAAATGTGTACATGTGGTGCACTCGTGCATGCAGCGCAGGTCATTTTTTTCTGATGGTTCCCAGTTATAAGTCGAATCCCGGTTGTAAGTCGACCCCTACCCACCCTTTCTTCTTCTATTTTTAGTCATAAAAGGTCGACTTACAACCGGAAAAATACGGTACGTGAATGGAGGTGTATGGGATGGGTGGTGTGGCATATGATTGGTAGTGATTGTGTGTTTGTGGGGGGGGGGGAGTACATGTTTGTGTGTGTGGCGGGGGGGGGGGGGTTGCGTGTGTGCGCGCTGTGAACCCAGAAGCCCCAGGGCCTCTTCTTCTTCACAAGCCAGAAATCGACAAAGTTGTCCTACCAACATGGACACCCATAGTCACTCCACAGAATTTCTAATGGCTAGATAAACATTTTACGTCATTTTCCAAATGTACATCTGCTCACACACTGTACCAATATTTGAGTACAATTAGTGTAGGTCCAATGCCTTAACTATGCCCTCCAAACAGCATCCGGGAAGTTAAAATCAGTGTTGATAATCACTCACGTGAACCTTGGAATTCTTTATTCCTCGCAGGGCACACGTTGCTAGCCATACCATGTACAATGACGTGCAGAAAGTCTGTCACAAACAGAGGAAATACGTCAAATTAGCGATGACGCTCTACGCCACGACATTTTCGCTCTAGGAATTTCAGGTTCTCCCGAGAGAATACACCATCAGGCTCCTGTCGATCAACATCCTCAAAGCTTTTCCACTTGTACTTTCATTGACTTCACATGTTTCTGGTGAGGAAGGTATGCGTCGCTACCATATCACAGAGATAGTATGAACGACTAAGTACGGCATGGCAGGACCGATTGTAACCTGCTTACTGCCGTCCTGAATCATACCAAGAGTACACAACCCCAAGAGTGTGCAACTGCCTTCACAGTGCTGCGACAGCAGAACTTCGCATTGCATGATATGGTTCAAAAGATTACTCTGGCAAACAGTGCTAAGTGACCACAGGAGAGTTGAACCCAAAGCTGGGTTATATACAAACCTGTAACGATCATGCACCAGGGCCTGCTGGAGAGCCGGGTCAGCCGGGTCACGCGCCCAGTTGGGGAATGGCACGACCTGGCTGAACAGATAACAGGGGGTCCAGTCTGACCCGGCTGAAAAATGTCTCAAACTGACAATGGATTCCTAAAATACCGGTATTTTACGACTGGCGGACCCCATCTGGTGCAAATCTAGCGCAACCGTACACACTACAGTCTACAAGCGACAGAAACTCGGCTAGGGTCAACTGGTTCGAGCGCGATCTGGCCAGCGGCGAGCAGGAAGTCAGGACATTCAAAGTCGATGGGGCAGGCAGTCAAAAGCGTAACTTTGGCTATAGCTTTTGACAAAGTTGCAAGTTTTCAGCTGACTGGTGATTTGGACGATGGAGTACTAATTAGAAAACAGAATTCCTTTTTTCAAATTGTCAGGACATTCAAAGTCGAAGGGGCAGGCAGTCAAAAGCGTAACTTTGGCTATAGCTTTTGACACCATTGCAAGTTTTCAGCCGACTGGTGATTTGGACGATGGAGCACTAATATGAAAACAGAATTCCTTTTTTTCAAATTGTCAAATCAGAATCCAATGGAACTGCTTTGCATTCTTCACGTAATGATTATGTTGTTTACCTTCTACGTTTGCGGACTTTGATAGTTCGCCTTGTTCTCTAAAATTTCCGATTTCCGGTAATAAATTCGCCTTTCTGTTTTCCTGCGTTTTGAGCAGGCTTTTTGGTTGTTTTTCTGCCGGAAGATCTGACCCGGCTTGACCCGGCTGGCCTGCATGCGCCAGGTACACTCTGACCGGTCTGTGTTGAATGTCTAGAGCAGGCCCTGTGTACAGGGTACAAATAATGCGTACGGGTTCGTCACATGATGTGAAGTTCTGCCGTCGCAGACCCCAATGGCCATATAATAGCTGGAGTTGCACACTCTTGGAAGTTATGTACTCTTGATCATACCCATCTGGGCACCGCATGGCTTATGTTTGGTGTGCAGTGCATGTCCACTACTCTGTACAGCGCTCAAGGTACTTAGTTGTTTTGGACGCACTGTTTTGTTTCTTCCCTCGTGAGAATTGATTTGCTCAGAATTTTGGACAAGAAACAATTTAACGAGGTGTGGCTTGTTGGTGCATAGGACTGGAGTAGGGAGTCATGAATACATGCCACTCCAATACGTATCCTTATCCGACTGAAATCCAGACTTGTGAGTGGAAAGGACCGATTTACCCTATGTTTTCCAAGGGCCAATTGTAAAAAATACATTTAGTATCTAATGAGCCAATAGCACGTGCACAAGGGTGCGATTGATTGGTTGTCTCAGTTACCAGGTAATGGTAGTTATTACTTATTATTATGGTACTAGCGATATTCACTTACTACACCGGCCGCCCACGGGGCATTGGAGGCGATGTTGTCCACCGAATAGTCTCCCGACGATGTCATGGCCGTGGGTACGTACGCCTGAAGGCCCAGGTTAACCACTGACAAGGCGAATAGTAGGATCGACATTCGCTGCAAGTGCTTGAAGCCGCTTGTGGGCAGGCCACCACGCCATTCGGCGCCCTCCTCTGTAGTTGTGGTCTGAATTGGAGTATATGCAGGTCCGCTCGCCATGATTAGCGATTCCCTAATGCAACCTTTCTCGGTGTAGAATTACAAATTGCTTCAGCCTCTCGAAAACGCAAACGGTAAGAAGCCACACAAAGTTGCGAACGATAGCTCACTTCTTCAGAACTGCCCGGCAAGTGACTTATGAAGTACAGTCAACTTCGCTTATAACGACACTCGGCGGGGCATCAGAAAAGTGTCCTTATTAGCGAAGTGTCGTTATACCCGAAGTCTCATTGTATGTACTACAGTTGGATGGGACTTTGCTCTGGGTATGGAAATTCTGTCGTTATTCGCGAATTGTCGTTATATCCGCAGTCGTTATAAGCGAAGTTGACTGTACCTAGTTGTGTGCTTGAGTCCAGGTCCATCTGTCCATCTGTGAACTGATAGTCTGTGGATCTATAAACGAACTTTGAATGGTCGTGCGGGACTTTCCTGCTCTCTACGAGTCTGGGATGTGCGAGGTACGCGCACTTACTGACTAATACTCTTGTGCATGTGACATCCAGCTGCCCAATACATGACGTAGGCGTTTCAGAGCCTTCGTCGGCTTCGAACGTCTGGACGGAACTCCTGAAGCCTGGTGTCATCTGTAGTCTGTAGTCTACGGGGTAGTGTCTCGTAAAATAATGGCACACAGTCCTGCACACGCTGCAGTGCAGTCTGCTGGGAAAATGACAGCGCAATTCAAGCCTTTCTCTTTACTACCGCCGGTATGTACGGTTCTATATCGTGGATTTCCGTTGAGACTCCGGGTCAAAGATCAATGTAAAAAAAAGCTTTGATAATGATAGGGTAGATGCCGCACTGACCACCAAATTTGCAAACTACATTGTAGATCTACTGTGCTGCTGAATGAAATCCGACCTAGGTGCGCAAGTGCACGCCCGGCGCTGTGCAGCCCTAACCTGCGAACACTGAGATTGTCTCTAGTACACCAGGACAGGGCGCAAAGCCGACTCACTCGATCGGATTTCATTGAACAGCACTGTACATAATTACGGTTACCACTAATCATACACATGTGATGGTGATGATGACTTTTGTTTTATTGCGCAAATCCGAACGGGAATTACTTCCCAATAACAAAGTAGCGAAGACATAAGGTATAAAGAGAGGGAAGAGGGGAGATGTACCATTTTACATTCGGGTAAGGTTGCTATGTAGTCATGTACACTCTTGCGGTCTTGATCGAGACTCGTTCACACTAGTAGTACTAGACAGATGTCTATTCAAGAGAGGCATTGCACAAGAGAAAATAGCTTCCTGCGGTGTGACCGTGGAGAGCTGAGCTCTGTGAGCTGATATACATGTGCATGACTGTACACGTACATGATGATGATGACTGTTGGCGTCCAGCCGGCATGCATATCCCGTCACGTGTCATTACATAAACTCATACTGGTTCATATCATACTCATACTAGTCATAGCCATGACCTGTCACATCATACAGTATCGTATGTACAAGTCATCATTGTACATGTACATGTACATTACCATGATAACAGTCATCATGAGTCATGTACATGTACATCAAAAATTAACGACTATGTTGTACATGTATCGGATATGGAGGTAGGCACCGGCGGGTTATGCCGGCAGAAAATTGGCAGAATTCGGTAATTTTTCTGGTAAGTTTCATGCATGTTTGGTATGTGGATAATGAAATGGACCAGAATTCGAGGAATTGCCTACGGTTCGGTATGGTTCTGCCAATTTCACTGCTTTTCGAGCAGAATCCGCCAGTACCTATATGGAGGTCAGTACCAAATCGCCTCCTACTCCTAGATCCTCGGCTCTGGATGCTATGACGCAAGAGCATGCCTATTGCATGACGTTTTGACATGCATGAGTCGCCAGGAATGCGGTCCAGTAATAATACGTCATCTACATCTACATGTACATGTACAGGCAGTTATACTACACTCTACAGTACTGCACTCTACAGTACTACACTCTACAGTACTGCACTACTGCACTAGTTCTGCTCTGCGACCTGTCCAGACATGTCGACAAGCTGTACAACCCTTGGCTTGAGAATGCTTTTCGGAGAACAATAATTATGCGGTACGAGCGGAGAATGAGCATGGGTACTAGGGAGTCGTCAAATGCCGGTTTTTGACGACTCCCTGGTGGACACATACATGTACATGTACATGTATAATGTACATGTACGTTCATTGAACATGTACAAGAAAAGAATGACGGTGGTACTACACAATATGCGTTGGAATTGGCATCTGCAGGATCAGGCTCAGAACCGTCGCTCTTAGCGAAAGTGAAAAAGTATGAGCAGTGTGCTTAGGAGTGGGAAGGGTGAGGGCGTGATCAAGGAGATGGCATGTTGCAAGCATTAAAAACATAGTACGTATTGGGCTGTGAAATAATTATCCTGCGGCAAAACTGTAATGGCTCTTTCCATCACGAGCACGAGTCAACACGTCACGATTTCTGTTGCCAGCACTGTACACACATACGCGCGCACATACATTCACACGGATGCACGGCACCATACGCACGCAGACAGACACACACCACACACACACGCGCGCACATACATGTACAAAGTCATGTGCTAGTACAGAATCATCGTACACACGCAGGTACGCATGCACTCAACTACATGACGTACAATGCCTTCGATGCCGCAAACATTTTTGCACACAACATCGGTTGCCGTAGTTCCCTTGCCTGACGTAAGGCGGTACAAGAGCTAGAGCCGATTGATCGACTGTCATTCTCAAGCAGCAGGGATTCCACGCACAGTTACCTTGGTTACGTTTTTGTAGAGGTTGGTTCTGTCAGCCGCACGCACAGACTCAATGGCATAAGAACTCTAACTAATACTTAGTATAAGAGGTTGGTTCCTGTTGCACTTGTGCCAGTTGTGGCAATGGCCACTGGCTGGCGCTGGCCATCGTCCTCTCGATTCCGTGCCGTACGCCCAGGCCAGGCCAGGGGACACTTGTCGGTTGAAGCGATTAGCAGCCTCAGAAATCCATGCCAATGGGAAAACAAGACACAAAGTAAGATTAGCTTCGAGACAGTAGTACATGTACCCATAACATAGTAAGTACATGTACATGTACATTGTATACCTGGTACCAGTAGTGAGGGTGCACAGCTAGGGCCATGTGCAATGATACATGAGTCACATGACCCATGATGTGGAAATAACTCCCAGTAGTACGCCTTACCTCTGGAGTTCTATAACAATACTGTAGTACGTTACTTATAAGAGTGCAGAATTCTGAATGCTGATTTCCCTGTGGCCAGGATAAGGACATCTCATGGTCACAACAACTCTCCCCGTAATGACATCATTATCATCTCTACGATGACATCATTATCAACTAGTTATCATTCGGCTACCTCGTAAATATTTAACATGGCCGCCTTTGGGTAATGGGCCTTGCAACTGCATGGTATGATTATGGAGGTAGGTGCATTCACCCTGAACACCAACACCCGCTTCCATCACCGGGGCATGTACACTAACCTGGCAAGCCTGGATGTTGGAGTTTCTAGCCAGTTGTAAGTTGATCTTCCACAGTGCGTAGAACATACTTTCTTACGTTATCGGACCTTCGAGAAGACAATAACATCTGCCGTACTGCGCTTGCACTCCACAAGACAATCCTCCTCCTCGTCTAACCGGTTACCCCCAAGACGAAACAATGATAGTAGCCGACTGGCCGAAATATGTTTTTTAAATGTCCTGCTCCTCAGAACCTGCCACTCCTAACAGTTATGGCATACACTAGTACATGGCATGGTCTGCACAGTTGCTTCAAGACTGTGTATCCCCGTTCCCTGGGTTCTCATGATAGCAAGCGGCATTACGTTTCTGCAGTATTGGACTCAGTGACAACTATCAGCTCGCAATATCTCCTACAGCATGCTCCTTTTCCTGAACCCACTGAACTTGGCTCGTGACTTATTTCTGCCATGCACATCCGCTCTTCCACGCACTACTTTCCCATATTTGCACTGCTCTCCTTTTTTAGCAACAAACTAACTGAGATAACAGTAGAGAGAGAGAGAGAAGGAGGGTTTTGAGTTTTCCGTTCTCGGCGTTACCAACATGCTTTGCCAATGACGATCTCCCGTGACAGTCCCACCAACGAGCGACTTCCAATCACTCCATAGGTGTCGGCATATCCACCAGAGCAGCCCATCTAGATGTACACTGACTGTATAGGTCTAGCGAGGTTCACCCCATGTAGTGGATAGATGTGCGCGCATGATTGGAGTTAGCAAGTGGTTTACCGTGTACACACATGTACAAAAGTAATGCCCAACGTACCGGTATTAAATTTTGTAAATGTACATGACTTGTAGTTCCTTTGATCTCAATCATCTACGCTCTAGCTGCCAAGACAGTCATTTCCTCACCAGCTTTGCCATGTTAACATTGTGTGCGTTTTAGCAAATTTCCACACACCATCATTGTGTTGGCGCATGGTAAAGTTCAAAACTGCACTTTCTTCCACCTTATCAGCTACTCAGACTGCTACCTAAACCTAAATGTATCAACAGCGATCTCAGAACACTGCCGCTAGCACAGTGCGTACGTTAACACCATGACCAAACAGTCATGAAATATAGATGGCTATGTAGACAGCCAACACAAATAATTCTAGCAGGGAAGACTTCATGCAGTGTACATGCTGCAATATACTGGTACATTGTACCCCCTTTTTTAACTATGTTCAAATTCCCAGCTCGAAAATAATAAAGAAAGATAATGGTACTGAGACTAGGACAAACGTGACAACTACTGAGCAAGGGCTGCACGGAGACGCACCAGTGATGGTGGGCATTGATGGCTCTGCCGACGTGAGGTATCGGTATCACAGCCAAAAACACGCACCAGATAGTGAAGGCGAGTGGAATATGGCAATGGTGAGGCGAACACTGGGTAACAGACATTCTGTCTTGGACTGCTCCCGAAGGTATAAAGACGTGTACGGATATGATGCATTGTGCGCTTTGCGTATTGCTCACTCTCCCACGCTAAGTCACTACAGATGCCGGGAGACGATAAGATAGCGATGGCGGGCCATACAGTGTAACCCCATTGTCCCTGGGCGCTTGCAGCGTCTTGGCTCACCAGCAAAGAATTTAGGGCTGGGAGGAAACAGGAGCGCGCACAGGGGCTTGAGCCTTGGGAGAAAACTGACTGTTTTCCGTTGGTTCCCGTCGCACAAGAGGAGGATAAACGAAGGCATGAGCGAAAATGGAAGGTGCATTGTAGAGAGTGACGGACGACTATTGAACTGTTCCCAGCAGTCCTTACTGAGGCTTTGCAATGAACTCGGCGGATGATAGAATGGGCCGTGGTGGCTCACCACGGCACTGCTCCGTGCTGCTGCGCTCACTAACGGCTGCTTTGCTCGTGGGTGCAGTCCTAGTGTCAATCAGTGGTGGTTGTTGTGCCACAGTGCACCGTGGCCATACTCTGACCAGTGACAATACAGATGCAGCTAAGGCATACGCCAGCAGTGCAGTTGCACCAAACGCGGAAGGCTCTTCTTCCAGGAGGGCCAGGCGTTCTGATGAGGACAGTGCCTCTGAGATGAGGTCAACTGCAGTCAGCTCGGATGCTGATACGGACTCAGATAGCTCCAGCTCAGACGGAGATGGACAGCCTGCGGTTCAAGGCGCAATACAAGATCCTCAAGCTGCGGTTGTGGAGATTCCCACTGACCCAGCCGAGGTGGCTATACCGCCAGACACAAGTCGTGGATTTGCCATACCCGACATCTTCGCTGGGCCAGCGTTCATGGCTGGTGTTGGCGATATACCTGAGTTAACAGATGGAACTATGACGGACTCCAACGGCAACGTGGTGGCCAGGCGCAAAGGCAATCCACCCACTGCGCCCAAAAAACCGGCAAACTGTGCTCAGAAAGTCATATGCAAACAGGTCGAACTAATGCGGGATTTCGTGAGCTTTGCATACGAGTCGGTTTTGAACGTGCTGTACGAGATCTCGTCGACGGCGATCCCAGCGATCCTGAAAGAAACCAAGAACTTAGCAAGCGGACGTCGCGAGTGTTCAGACATCCTATTCATGAACAGTACACACTTGGTGGTGTCCATTAGACACGGAAAGGGCGATGCGATGGTCAGGCTCAAGCTCGCGCCGCTCCGCGCTGCGGACGGCAGTCACATACCCAGTGAATCGCTGTACACGACCGGGGAGCTACCCGGGTTTGGAGCGCTGCAGAACCACATAACGTACAATACTCGTGGACAGCCGGTCAATTCTGTGTTCCTAGTGAGGTTCCCCAATGCTAAGAAGTTCGTCAAGTTCCCAGTCACAGGACAGGTAGGTTTCAATACCCTTTTTTTAAATATTCTTATCAGTACTATATTATGTATGTAACCCCCTGTGGAAGGTCACTGTTTGATTGGATTCGTTGAGCCCTGACATTTTTTGTAATGACCTGGAGAGCTCAAAACGAGGTACACTGTAGCAATGTGGCGGGTACGTACAAATAATGGAGATGAAGACACAAAAATTATTATGACATGGGAAATTGCTGTCTTTTGACATTTTTCCATTATTCCCTGTACTTACCCATGATGAGAAGGGAAGCGAAAACGTTCGGTTACCAAATTGGCTTACTTGACTGTGTGGATTGCGTCGGTGTTTACACATTTTCTTTCGAAACATGGGAGATTGTTATTATTATGTTGCAATTGGCTCGGTGACAAACTATTATTCACAAACCAGGGTATGCTGGGTGGTTGGTTGGTTCTAATTAATATATTGGTACAAGGCATAGTCAGCTGAACTGCTGTCCTGCTAGAGGGCAGCCTTTAGTTCATCAGTTTCCGGAATAGCCCGGGAATAGCCCGGGAATAGCTAAACGGTTGGGTAGGCTATTCTACAATAGCATGTCATAATGCATGTTCTGTAGCTGTACTTGCTGAGACAGCACTAGTCGGCCTTCAATAGTGCACATGCATGTACGTTGTACGTTGTAACTCCAGGAATACAACATACACTGTGATACAGGACCAGGGAATGCACTATGTACTTGTCTTGAGCACCCTGTAATAGTATGGAGTGTTTTTACAACTATCACATGATCACACACACATACTTGCCATGTTGGTTCCGACTCCATCCAACCCCTTCGTCTACATGTACATGTACATGTATGGCTCACATGATGTCGGCCATGTTGGTTACACTGCCCACATGCTATAATCTCTTTCTGCACAAACTCAGTTCAATACATGAACAAGATGTGAAACCCCTTTATAACCTGCATGTACATGTACTGTATACATGTACCAGTCCGCAGTACCTCGGATACAATCCGCACCCGGTCCCCACACAAACACCGCATGCCGACCATTAACATGTTTTCTAGCGATTGCACAGTTGTGAAACCCTGAGTTCCACCCCCAGAGCCTTTCTGTCCCCTGTTTCACTGAAATACCTCGGATATAAAGTACGTACATGTACAAATGTACATGTACGTAGACTACAGACCTATGACTTACAAATTTACAATGCAATCATGTATATTTTGGTCTCACTGCACGTGCTACTTGATGACGTAATCACTGACTTCTCTTACCGGTCACGTTTTGACTGGCTGCTGATGCCAACGATGCGTTGCCATGGAGCAGTGATCATCTTCGTATTATGCAGATTGCCCCTGGACATTGCTGACTCACCCCAGAGATGAGTCAATACTTCCGACCTCGGTGTGCACTTCAAACAATGACTGTTTCCACCGTTGGCCGCATTCCATGTCCAGTATTGGGACTCGAGGGTTCGGTTTCACGATATTAAACACACGACATGCGACACTAGCCAGGACTAACTTGCAAAGGGAATACTGAAGAATGATTCTGTCCACCGTCCATTAGTAGTCCATCCTAACAGACCCTTACTGCTCTAAGAAATCGGCCTAGCGGAACCAAAGGATTAAATCTTATACCTGCACGTACATGTACATAGTCATGTACGTGTCCCTACTGAGGTGCATAATTATACACGAAAGGCACAAAGTAGGCTAACAGAGTTCGTCGCAACTCCACGTTTCTTGCACAATGAAATCATCAAGCGACACGTGACATATGCAGTGAGACTTGGCCAATATAGAGCATAGTTGTCTGGTGGTTAGTGGGTATTGATTCTGCCCGCAGAAATATTGCCTTGATGGTGGTGTGGATGGTCACTTGAGTGCGTATAATAGTGCTCCACATTATTGTGTTGAGCCCTCTCCGCTAGCTAAAGGAGCATGTTCACCTTGAAGTACATAATTATAATTATACATGGGCAATCATAATAATTATTATAGTATTTCCTGTCCTTGTAAACAAGTCTGTATTGTCAACCTCTTATCCCTGTGTTCTGTTCTGCAGGAGTGCAGCAAGTGTGGCGAGCCTCGCGCACCCGTCTACCCCGTCCGCCTGGATCTCATACCGAAGTCTGAGCCGGAACGCGCAATCAGAGAGGCAGCTCTCACCACCCTCATTGAGTACACATGTATTTGAATACTAATGATAACATGTGTAAGTCGGAAAGCCCAGGCACCAAGCCCCGGTCCAGCAGCCCATGCTTTTGTTGTATGTGCTTTCTTGTAAAGAACACTAAGTCTTAGTGATTTACATTTGAGGCAGTAGGAGAAAATTAATGTTAGTTCTTCGTCCTTGCAAGCAGCTTCTTCCTACATGTACTAAAATTAATGTCCACAGAACAACAAGGGCAATCAAGGCTACAGCTGTAGTTTGCCTCTACTCTGAGTTTCATGCTTACGAGATAATCAGCCAACAAATGTATACTAATAATTATTATTATCTAGAACGAGGTCTGTCTCATTGTCCAGGAGACGACCAATCAGTAAGTAAATGTACCGGATTTGTTTGTAATATACTTTATTATTATTATTATTATTATTATGAAATGACCCAAAGGCAATGTGCCTATCGAGGGGTTCATTTGATTGAAAGAACAGTAGATGTAGATGTATGTACAAAGAGAAGTAGGGATTGATGAGGAGAGAAATGGGGAAAATCAACTGCAAGGTGGCGGAATTCCGTTGATTGCATAAGCATAGTCAGCTGTAAATTTCCTGAGGGCAGCTTTGAACTTATAGAGCGAGGCTTCCGATGTTAGACTGGGGGGTAAACAGTTCCATAGAATAGCAGTTCGGAACATGAAGAGAGACTTAGACAATGATTTAAATTTGGGAAGAATGATTTTATTTGGTCGTCGCTCACTATTCGTAATCTTGAAATGGAAATCAGCAAGGTAATCACGATGATGGAAAACATATCTGTGAAAAGTAGTGAGACTGATGATTTGACGACGATAGGCTAGTGACTCTAGGGAGCATTTAGAATTTAAGACAGATTTGGAAGAAGTGTAATCAAATGCAATTTTTTTTCTTTTTCAGTAGAGCTCTAGCAAACCTTGCCTGTAATTGATCAAGAGTGGTCATGGGTTTCTTATTAGATCCAAACGACCACACCGTACAGCTATATTCGATCACAGGTCTTACAAACCCTTTGTACAGTATGATCATTGCCGAAGGCGTAAGTTGCTGGGACATAATTGACAGTAGGTGCACTCGATATCTGAACTTCGAAGTTATTGAGGCGACATGTTTGCGGAAATCCAGGTTGTCGGTCAAGGTGATGCCAAGATGTTGCAGTTCAGAAACCACCGTTAATGGCTCATTGTACATTTGGTATTGGATTCCTGCAGGTGGTGTATCATTGATAGCTCTATGGCACAGCACGGATGTCTTGCTTGCTGAGAATTCACCTCCATTGTTCTTGCCCCATGTTTGACATGCATCGAGATCAGACTGCATGTTCGCTCTACTGGCGAGGGTGTCTTCAGGTTTGTAAGCCAGTAGGAGGGTGACATCATCTGCAAATAGATATTGCGTGCAATGTTGCATAGCGTTGGGCAGGTCATTTATATAGAGTAGGAATAGGAGTGGTGAAAGGTGGGAACCTTGAGGCACTCCGCAGTTGATGCTCCGCTTCTTCGATTTAGTGCTATGTACCTTCACTTCAATTTGTCGATCCCCTAAGAAGCTCTTCAGCCATTTTACTGATGAAGCTGTAGCAATCTTACCGAATTTCTTTAGGAGTACAGAGTGGTCGACCCGGTCGAAAGCTTTCCTGAAATCTAGAGATATCAGGTCAAAATTAGTGCCACTATCAATATTTACAGCCATTGATTGGGTTAGCAAGATAAGTTGGTCCGTTACAGACTTGTTGCGTACATATGCGAATTGACCTTTACAAATTACACCCTGGGTCATCAAGTATCGAAGTAGACGTTCCGAGAGAATCTTTTCCATTAGTTTCGCTATGCATGGGAGAAGGGATATAGGTCTGTAATTGGTAGGCTCTTTGGCGCAACCTCTATTCTTGTACACCGGTATTACAGTGGATGATTTCCAGGAGGACGGGAACACACCATCATCAAGGCTGTAGTTGAACAATACTGATAGTGATTGGGAAAGGATATCTGCGAATTGCTTTAGTATACGGTTTGTCAGGTTGATGTCTGATGATGATTTATGTTGTTGCAGCCTCTTTGCTGCATCGAAGACTTCAACAGGGCGTATGTTTCCGAATCCAAATTTGTTTCCATCGACGTCGGCTTCATTGATTGTTATACTAGTTGCTACAGTATTCGGCGGCGTTGACTGAGTGGTGCATTGGCGGGCAAAGAAGGTACACAGCGTTTCGGCCTTCGCTTGATCTGTTTTGTGAATTTCATTGCCGTTCTGCAGGTCTGGAATTGCCTTTTTATTTGTTTGGTCAATATTGCATATTGCTTTGGCACGTTTCCACCACACATAGCCACCCTTTCTTTCCTTGCCAAGCATTGTGTATCCGAGCGTTGACAAGTATGTGTCCTTGGCGGCTCTTAATGACCGGTGGTACAGGTTGCGCGAGAGTTTGTATGCAGCTCGTAAGGAATCGTTGAGTGGCTCCTTTCGGTGGAGCACATAGAGACGGTTAGTTCGCTGACGTTGCGTCTTAAGTTTTTTTGTGAACCATGGTTGGTTCGACTGGGTGTTTTTCCGGCGTGTGATGGTCGTTGCTGCCTGAATTGCCTGGTCCAGCAGTGCAGAGTAGGCCATGCATCTGAAACTGATGTGCACGTTGGTGCCCTGCATGCATTCGGTCAATGGTAGTGTGCTCAGTTTCTGCCTGAGGAGGTGCATGTCAACCTTTCTGGAGACTGCGGCTGCGTTGACAGTACTTCTAGAGTGGCGTTTCTCTGGTGGAGAATATGCGCAAAATAGAGGACAGTGGTCTGCAATGGGCATGGATGTGTAACATGAAGTGACAAGATGGGGCATATTAGTTAAAATCAGGTCTAGGGACGGATTAGAATCTTTAGTTGGCCTCGTTCCATGGTTCTTGGAGACCATAGTGAAGCCATAGTCGTCAAAGGCGGACTGCATGTGTCTACCTGCAGTGTTCGTAGGGTCTGCGTTGTTCCACTCATTGTTCTTGGAGTTGAAGTCTCCCACGACAATTACTGGACGGTTGTCAACGAGGGGGTGAAGAGGACTGAATGAGTTGCAGAATGCAAGACTATCGTGTCTTGGAGGACGGTACATACAGGAAATGATTGTAGCTCCTGTTTCGACAGTTATCATCTCTGAATTGTTGCACTCTAGATCCCGGCGGCGCATAGCACAAAGGGCGGACGAAGAGAAGACTGCTACCCCACCACCACCCAAGTCGCTCCATGTAGTGCTGCACTGGGACCGGTCACGACGGAACAGGTCGTAACCCGGTATCTGAATGATCTCGTCTGGGATACACGAATTTAGCCACGTTTCCGTTATACACAAAATGTCTACTTTATGGTGGTCAAGGAGGTCTGTAATATCAGCCAGTTTATGTTTCATACTACGACAGTTCAGGGTACATATCCGAATGCAAGAATTATTGTTATTGTTGTGGGGGGATGCGTTTACTGGTGTGGTATCAGGTGGAGGTTGTTCTCTTACAAACGTTGAGTGGGGTTGGGCACGATAGGTGCGAGGCATGAAAACTGGTGCATGGGGATTGAGTGGGAACACGGTCGTGGCTGCTGTTGAGCGGGGTTGGGCACGATAGGTGCAAGGTATGAAGACTGGTGCATGGGGGTTGAGTGGGAACAAGGTCGTGGCTGCTGTTGAGCAGGGTTGGGCACGATAGATGCGAGGTAAGAAGACTGGTGCATGGGGATTGAGTGGGAACACGGTCGATTAGATGGTGGCTGTGGGCCTATTTGCCTCGCTGAAGTCCCATGGCCGAACCTGAATGGGCGCTGGCCAAAACCCATCTGCCTCGATGGCTGCACATTGGTCTTCACGGACTGTAAGCCTTGCAGCTTTTGTGCCTACATGCTTGCGAGAAGGAAAGGTGCGGCAAGCTGTGGGTGTGATGCCATTCTGGACACAGTGGGACGTTATGGAGTCTGCGTCGCAACTGTCATCAATATTGCCAACAAAGTATACTTTCCGCAGGGAGCCAAGAGAACCTCTCAGTTTGCGGCTGGTAACTGTAGTCCATTGTTCGTCGTGTTGCTGGTGTTGGTGGTGTTGGTTGATTTTACTCCTACATTCTATCTTATACTGGCTCTCCTATACATTTCTACGTGCGTTTGCGAACCAATACTGAAACCAATCGATCAACTCCGATGGTTAAAACTGACGAACACCTCTGAATGATATTGATTTGCCCTACATTTACATTTACATTTACATGTAACCAACAGTACATACATGTATTGTAGTTACAATAGCGAGAGTTCTCAGATTGCCTAGAGTGCTCAACACCACAAGGATGGAGCATTACCACATTACCAAAAAGGCAGAAGAGAATAGAGACAGCCGGCTAGGTCATAGTTGCAACGCTGCATTTCATGCACATTACAAAGCTGAGGCAATCCTCAGATAACTGATAACCTGTACATCATTTGGGTCCAAATTTATACCCAGGCAGGTACTAGTAGCTAAAACAGGGCGCACAAAGTGAGTAAAGGGCGAAAAAGCAGGTGGCATAGCACGCAAAGAGGGCACCATTTACTGCATCAAGGGTAACATGATCTCACGAGTATGACATACATGTAATCATGGACACTCTACACGACTCGGGACTCGATACTACAAAAAAAGGTCGAGACTGACCCTGAGCATGACATCATTCCGAGCACACTACTCAAGAGTCTTGACTCTCGACTACTTGTGTGTGACGTCATTCACATCACACTCACTTATAAGACTGTAACTCGAGACTGGCAAGGAGTATGACATCTTCATCAAGATGGTAGGTCATAGAGTAAAGATGGCCCTCAGTAGTACAGAGACCAAGGTTCCAGTATCCTGCCCGCTTCTGCTAAGGCCCGGAGTGTCCACGAAAAGGCATTGTTCTATATACATGTATCCGCATTATAAAGCATTTTGGTCATCCTAAAAACGATAATACTAATTACTAATATCCGTCTGTTGACATTAATCCTCTCCAGAACCTTCCTTTTTTTTTTTTTAAGGAAACGGAGTTTGCATTTGGCACGTTCAATTACAGGGGTCAGGGAAAGGTGAGTGTATAATTATAGGAATGATGTGGGACGGGAAGGGCAGATTGGCTACGCAGCGAACACATGGCATGTCGAGGACAGTCAGCTGGTGCCGCTGCTGAGCCGTGAATGCAGAGAAGAACGCGTTTGATCCGGCATAAAGCATGTCAGGAAGTATAAGGGCAGAAGCGCTTGACATTTTACAAGCAAAGATCTGCAGATGCCTGCTGCGGTCTGCGAAGATTGATTTTGATCGCTATGAATCGAAGAATAATTTAAATAGGCTGTGTAATTTGGAATCCCTTCACTTCCGACGCACTTACATTTCCATCACCGTTTTGTTCAAGTATATCCATTGGCACCCAGATTATCTATCCCGCTTTGACATCAATATCTCTTCTAGCGCACGCCGACCAAACAAACTGATTTTCAATTCTCATGGCCGCATCTCTTCCTCTCTCTTTCTGCATAAGATCGGAAAGCTGTGGAACTGCCTTCCACCAAGGCTGACATCCCAAGATTCACTTTCTAAATTTCAGCAGCAATATCGCTTGCACGTGAAAAGGTTTAAATTTGACTGTAGTGGTATATCCCTTGACATTTAAATTAATTGTTTTATTTTTAACAACCCAGCCCTGTGTTTATTGCTAATTTATGTAGCATACACTGTAACACGTGTAGTTTTCCTCACTGTTTATTTCTATTGCATGATTTGCATCAGGAGATCCCCTCGACAGGCCATCGCCTCTGGGAGATCCTTTAATAAAGATTATTATACAGGAGAATAGAAGAGGAGCGACTCGCGTTCAGATAGCGACGGGCGGATGGTTCTCAGGGTGGTTAGCTTCTGGGAAGTTACGTACACTATGCTGGAGACCTGCGCATCCCATCGAAGACAGGAATCGATCTGTAGGCCCAGAAAGCGAGCAGTGGTGGTCTGGGTGAGAGGTGTCCCGTTGCAGTTAACGTTGATTTCCAGGGTACTACGGCGTGATGCCTCAATGGCTAAGACCTGCGTCTTGTCAAGGTTTAACACCAGGCCTTTCCCGTGTAGGTACTCAGCCAAGTTTGACACAGCAACTGATAAGACTTGATTTAGGGTTGCTACGGATCTGCTTGCGGTGTCGAGAAGGATGTCATCCGCAAACAGCTGGGAGTGTGCTGGGCTGGTGACGCTATGGACGTCCATGGTATTATAGTGAAAACAGCAAAGGACCCAGTACACTGCCCTGAGGGACTCCACACTCGCATGCAGTTAGGCCGCAGCACTGCCCACTCGCCAGAACTACTCTCTGTCGACGGTCCGTGAAGTAGCAAGCCAATAACGTGATCCTTGTCACGTGACGAAATACAATATTTTGTGTAGAGAGGGATCGTGGCATGCGCATATGTGGACAGTCAGACAGGGGACACATAATTATTGCTGATATGATGGGACCCGTAGACACATGGGTGAACTGAAGTTGGAATCAACGTCTGTCCCATATACATGTAGTCATGTACTCTGGCTAATTTGGGCCGGTAGCCATAATTATGATTGATGCGACAGCCTTGTTGTATTATGTAGAGCAACTACGAGCTAGGTTTATCGAGTACGGGTGATCTGGAATGCATGGAACAAAGCGAGGTTGACGGTTGAAAACAGCTCACGTACATGACAATGACATTGTATTGGGCTACATCACATCCTCATCCTTCACCTTAGTACTACTGACATGCATTATCGACAGCATAAACACGTGAGAAAGCGTCTGGCGTGCTAAGCTCACTACCAGGCTTTGGAGCAATCATGCTTTCTGACGATTCCTCCATTGGTAAGAAAATGCCGATATGTCAGAAGCGCCCGCCCAGCACACTGTCAAGGTTGATGTATAGTCAAATAACTCGTCGGGGCATCAGAAAACTGTACTACCGTCCTATTCGCGAAGTGTCGTTATAACCGAAGTCTCATTATACGAATTACAGTTGGATAGGACTTCGCTCTGGGTGTGAAAATTCTGTCGTTATTCAGTTGTTACTAGCGAAGTTAGTTGACTGTAGGTGATATCTCTATCACTGCTCATTTTATTTCACGGTGAGCGTCAGATTCAGTAGACTGATTTTTTCGTATCGGCAGCAACGTCACCTGTAAGAACCCTCTACTACAGTATGAAGGCGCAGAGTGTAGCTCCTAAAGATGACCTCTTACGGTCATCGATAACTTGCCAAACTTACCAGTGAAGAAGTATGCGTCAGTTTGGATAATGAAAAAACACTCTCTGTTGTTGCAAGCTCGACCTCGGACGGTACATCGTGACTTCCAGCGCCACCCCACATAACTCTACCCGTTGGATCTCTTTACCACACACATTTTACCTTGTTACTGAACGAGAATCACAAGGTGCGATATTCAAAGCCACACCAGTGTCTCGAACAGGCTATATCCACACGCAATAGTCTTCCCGAAAGTAGAACAGGATTCGTTTAGTGTTAATTCTATCCTAACGCAGAGAGGAGCAATGGAGGTTGATGCCTATCCTTGGATGTAGATCAAGAGCTGAGAGCAAGCAGGTGAGCGGTGAAACAGCAAGATAGTATGTACCAAGACAATTCAGGGGACAAGCAGCGGCAAGAGCAGCAGCCCCAGGACAGCCATGGCGGCGACATGCTCCATCTTCAATCATTATTGCAGGGTGCGGCGATAGGGGACCACAGCCCAGACTCCGGCGCGCCACGCAGATCGACATGCACGGACCACGCCCGGCTTCTTGAAACCCCAGTCGGAGGATCTGCAGACGAGCCCTCGGCTTGTTCGATAGTGTGCGATAGTGTCGTGGAATGCTCTGAACGACAGGAGTGGTCCGAAACGTCACAGCCAAGCGCCGGACACATACACGCCTCAAAGCTTCGTGACGACCCGGATGGAGGAAACACAGATGAGCCCTTAACTTGCCGTACACTGCGCGAAGGTGTTGTAGAAAGGTGTGAACAGCAAGAGTGGTCCGAAACGTCCCAGCCTAGCACTGGCGACATACATGCACATGCCTCAAAGCTTCTTGAAGACCCAGACGAAGGATCTACTTGCTGGCCCTCAAGGTGGACGACAGAGAGAGAAAGTGCCGTGGAAAGTCGTATGCAACGAAAGTCTCCCGAAACACTATCGACTCTCAGACAAGATTGTATTGATGGAGGCTGTCACCAGCAAAGGTTGTCTGAATCTCTACCGCGCAGCGCCGACGACGCACAGGCCTCAAAACTATCCGAAGACACAGCTGGCGAATCCACCTTAAGCTCGACCACGGTGGACGAAACATGCATTGAAGAACGAGAATCGCCCCAAGGACTATCGACTAGCAGACAGGATTGCATTGATGGAGGCAGTCACCAGCAAAGGTTGTCTGAATATCTACCGCGCAGCGCCGACGACGCACAGGCCTCAAAACTATCCGAAGACACAGCTGGCGAATCCACCTTAAGCTTGACCACGGTGGACGAAACTGCCATGGAATGCATTGAAGAACGAGAATCGCCCCAAGAACTATCGACTAGCAGACATGAAGATTGGACATGTATCGTGGGAGGCAATGAACAACAAGACTCGCCCGAAACGCTATCGACCAGCACTGAGAACACGCAAGCCTCAAGTATCCTCGAACGAACGGTCCACACAGTGTCGGAGCTGCTCCTTCCGTATCTAGCTCTTGATGATATCCAGGCCTTATCACTCGTGTCGCGGAGATTCAATCGACTGTTCCAAAATGACGGCTACCTGAGACGCTTCTTGCAGGTGAGAGAAATCTCGTCGCTACAACACGCCTCATCCAGGTCTGCTTCCACATGGATCTGTGAAAGCAGACTTTGCGCGACCGGCGTAGTCAAGCAAAAGTCTGCTTTCACAGGTCCACGTGGAAGCAGAGTTATTATTGCCCAGTTTGTGTCGGTTACAAGACGTTCACGTATAACCCGCCTGTATAAATACATTGTATTCACGTATAACCCGCCTGTGTAAGTACATTGTATTCCCCCAACACAACGGTCTGCAGGTCACCGCAGTGAATAAAAAAATAGACAGTTTTGTTGTGGGAGTTGGAGCGGTGAAGTGTTACACATGTGCATATGGCTGCGTTGGAATTTTGCTGGTGTGTATGTGTGCTTGATTGGATGCAGATGAGCTTAGGCCTGCGTCCTGATTCAATACCGACCGGAGGCGGACGGCATGCAATGTTCGCGATGCTCACGGCCGAGGCTAGGAGCCTAGCTGGAATGCTACGTTGCGGAGGCATAGAAGAAGACGAGGGGCATAAGTCGCGCACGTGCTATATGGATCTAAATGTACTCAGGGAGAACCCTCTATTTGACGTGCCACTGTTTCTGCTGAAGACCAGTAGCTGGTACACATTCACGCGATTAACCTTTCACGATATACAGAACGCGTTCGGGCTCAATCCAACACTAGACGTATTCAGAGATAGCACATTTCTTCCCATGAATGACCTTCAGCTGTCACTAGACGGCGGGGCCACCATAAGGCCATCCACGATCTTTGAGCACTATCGAGGTAGGTTGCGTCAAGGCACAATCGAATTGTACCAATCCGGTCTGACAACCTCAAATCCCTTCAACCAACTGAAGTACAATGTAAGCGATATTGGCGCCATGTCCCGCCGCCGCAAGTTCGAATCGGATGCGGATTACCGCCTGGCTTTGCTTACGAACATTCGCGAGCACTTTGATACCATTGAACCACAGCAGAAGCGCTTGCTGTCGTGTTATCGAAGGTTTCTTAAGGTCTTAGCGTCTTGGCATCAGGCAGAATTTGTTACAATACCGGAACTGAAGTCTGTGGGGGTCGGATCTCCGTATTTGATGGGGCTGTACGCTGCCCAAATGCTGCCAAGGACGTTTCAACCAGCTATGCAGCATTGCGTGAACACACATCCCGCGCTCGTCGACTACATCGAAGGAGACCTCTTCATCTCACCAATCACATATATTCAAGCATGCTTCGTGTTCGAAATTCGGACACCGAGCGTCCAGGCGAAGGACAGCGCTGCTCGGAAAGCCGTGTACCTGAAAATAGGGGAATACTTGAAGTTGCAGCAATCCCAGGGGGTGTTCTTTTCTGTGCAGGAACTCGCCAATGTCATGATTCGATTTCTGGACAACAACTAACAAGACAATCGCACATATCATCTAAATTCGCACCAATCTATCACAGTAGAACTTACTCAAGGAATACTTTGGCATCTGACCGAGGTACTCTATTGCTGGCACAAGAGATCACGTGACTGTATCTTCTCCCCCCCCCCCCCTTGTTGTGTGCCTCCCTGTGTGATTAGCAGATCCTGAGTTGACTTGCGAAAATGCAATCTAAACCTACTGTCTAGGTCACTAAGTAAACAGTTAGTTGTTCTGAATGTCACACACTATAACTCCACACAACGTGAAAGAATCGTCTAGTCAGGATCATTCTTGCCGTCCTGCTCACTATGATTGTCTTAGCTTAGAGCTACAATCTACAGTGTCTACATGTATATGTGTATGTACAGTGTGTACTTCACAGCAGTGCAGAAGGAAATATAACTGGAAATGTAACAGTTTAGTTTCCGCTTAATTTCGAGATTCTGACTATCGAATATGATTATTGGATATGCACAACATTTAGCTATTCGGTCATGGTTCTCAAACATTGCTCCACATTCTATCATACTAGTAGTGCAGTTCAAAACATGCAATTTGAATTGAAGAACAATATGCACTCCATTTACTCTCTCTTCATCTGCTAGTGTATGTGTGAACGTGTCTCTTCTCATCGTGTAAACTGTCCAGTTCCAGCAAGGGTCATTCGCCCTTGTGAGTGTTTCATGTTCTCCAGAATGTGTACGTGTGCTTTGCTCCGCGTGCAGCTGTTGCCATGGGAAATGGGGATGTACATGTAAGGCCCAATCCAGCTTACTTGAAATTGTATGGTGGTGGTAACAGTTAGTTGTGATGGTGATGCTGCTGCTTTATTATTCAGCTGGTGGTGGTGGTGGTGGTGGTGGTGGTGGTGGTGGTGGTGGTGGTGGTGGTGGTGGTGGTGGTGGTGGTGGTGGTGGTGGTGGTGGTGGTGGTGGTGGTGGTGGTGGTGGTGGTGGTGGTGGTGGTGGTGGTGGTGGTGGTGGTGGTGGTGGTGGTGGTGGTGGTGGTGGTGGTGGTGGTGGTGGTGGTGGTGGTGGTGGTGGTGGTGGTGGTGGTGGTGGTGGTGGTGGTGGTGGTGGTGGTGGTGGTGGTGGTGGTGGTGGTGGTGGTGGTGGTGGTGGTGGTGGTGGTGGTGGTGGTGGTGGTGGTGGTGGTGGTGGTGGTGGTGGTGGTGGTGGTGGTGGTGGTGGTGGTGGTGGTGGTGGTGGTGGTGGTGGTGGTGGTGGTGGTGGTGGTGGTGGTGGTGGTGGTGGTGGTGGTGGTGGTGGTGGTGGTGGTGGTGATGCTACTGTTGCAACTGGGTGGGGGTGGTCAATAGGAACACCATCTGGTTCAAGTATCCATTGGTGGAACATGCTCGAAACTTGCAGATTCTGCTCGAAAACCAGTGAAACTGGCAGAGCCATGACAACCTTAGGGCAGGAATTTCCCCGAATTCTGCTCCATTTCTTTCTGCACATATCAAACATGCATGAAACAATTCAACAATCTCTCCACCTCTTCTCCTCCATGCGCTCTCACCAGACTACCCTAAGTAGCATTTACATACACACCAACAGTTCAGAGAAGGGGTTACGAGCAAAGGAAAGAAGAAAATGGAAAGGGGTCCAGTATTGTTACCTATAATTATTATTCCTTCTGACAGAGATTGTCGAATTATTTAACAGGCAAATGGTACCGTTCACATTTTTATTGATAGTCATGAAACATACAAGAATCGTACCTAATTCTGCCTGAGAAAAGGTACCTAATTCTGCCTTTCTGCAGGCATTGTCCGCCAAGGTCTATGTTCAAGGCTCAGATGCACAGTGAAACCTGTCAAGGTGACCACCTCCCCCAGAGGACCACTGAAGCCAGGACCAAGGGATGCTATTTGCAGTCAAACGACCCTGGATAAGAAGACCACCTGGCAACAGAGGCCACATTGTGACGGTGCCTTGAGCGGTCGTCTTAGACAGGTTTCACTGTACTCTGAGGAGCGGTGGTAAGCGAGTAGATGAGACCCACCACCAAGTGGTGAGATGACCGAAAACCCCATTCGCTGTGTCCACGTTTCTCTCATTCCAGAGCGCGGGTTCCCAGTGGAATTTGGCTCGCAGCAAGATTGGAACAGTACTTCCGCTTCCACACGCGTATGCAGTCACGAATGGTCGGCTGTGTTGGCTTATTGTTACGATCGTGTGTACGTGACAGTAGGCCTACTGAGAATTATGCAAGTCTAAGAACTTTAGAAAACTTATGCTTATGGTAGTGGCACTTGATGGTAGTTGCACATAATTAAAATTATATGCACTACCATACGCATAAGTTTTCCGCAGGGCTTCGATTTTTTTGACCTTTGTTTTACTTCGCAAATCCAAACCGGAATTTCTTCCGGCGAAGAGGGAAGAAAAGAGAGAGAGAGAGAGAGAGAGAGAGAGAGAGAGAGAGAGAGAGAGAGAGAGAGAGAGAGAGAGAGAGAGAGAGAGAGAGAGAGAGAGAGAGAGAGAGAGAGAGAGAGAGAGAGAGAGAGAGAGAGAGAGAGAGAGAGAGAGAGAGAGAGAGAGAGAGAGAGAGAGAGAGAGAGAGAGAGAGAGAGAGAGAGAGAGAGAGAGAGAGAGAGAGAGAGAGACAAAGCACTGGAAGTGATAGTTAGCTGGAGATCAATAGTACGGATCAATTGTCAAGCATGGCACTTGCTACTGTTGCATTTTAGCAAGGAATACAACAGGCAAAGTCAATGACCAATTGCGTTAGGTAGTGCTGCACCTTTGAAGGTCTCCAGGTAATCTGTTCCATTTACCTGTAGCCGTGAAGGCATACCTCGACTTGCCAGCGTTTGTTCTTGCAACTGGCAGACTGAGTCAGTCCTGCTGCTGAAGGCGGGTTTCTCTGGTCATTTGTTGAGTCATTAGTTGCGTGACGGACTTTCATGCTGTCCTTTAAATACACTCCTCATGCTATTAGTAAATTTTCGTGCTAAAAATAATAGTATTGTAACCTCTGTTTGACACTGACCGACGGTACTGACCGACGGTACTGACGTTCTACAACAAACTAGCTAACAGCTCTAGCACATCTTGGATGCGCACTCCAACAGCTTTCCAACTTGGAAGGTTCTAAGTTATAGAAATAACATAAGATGTGCTAGAACTGTTAGCCAGTTAGTTGTAGAAGAACGTCAGTACCGTCGGTCAGTGTCGTGCAATGTTATCGCATGAGGAGATTGTTCAGTAACTGGTGGTGTTAGTGGACATAGATTTTGTGTAACTTGTAGTTCCTCGGTCCTTTTTACTTTTTATAAAATAATCCTTGGCTCTCCAACCGAGTGTATTCGCACATCTGCATCACTTTGCGAGAACTGTGGCAATACGCCCAGTGAGAAGGCAGATGTTGCCTCTGCTTCTGGCGAAGTAAAAAAAAAGCTAAACAAACGCATCCACACCACGAAACCAGAAGAACAATTATGTAGGGATTGCAACGTCGTTTTCAAGTGACTAGCATCAGAAATCTTCGTAACACTGAGAGTTTAAATTAACGTTATGAAGTTGGTTGTTCCTACGAGGAAACAAGGCTTCCTGCCGGATTTGACACTTGATTGACGCAAGACTGCCATCCGGAGCACACGAAAAGCCCATCGATTGCGCCTGAGAAGCACCACATACATGTACATGTAATAGTGCATGCCCTCCAGGCCAAACCATCACCAGGGATACAAACTTACAGAGACGTTTTGTTTGACGTTTTGACCCGGGGCCTCGTGAGGCCCCGGGTAGCAGCGTGAGTCAGAGTCGCTCATGCTGGGAGTTGCTAACCTTCTTCGGCCTACTCAAGCTCAACGCATGAGGGGTGAATTCCCCAAAACGCCGTGTTGAGCAGGGAGTGGTGCTTTCTTGCAGGTTTGCCGAGTGGAAGGTTCGATGGACTCCTCGTACCCGTGTGCTCTGCATATCTGGATGGCAGTCGTGAGTCAGTCAAGTGTCAAGTTCGGCAAGAAGCGTGTGTTCCTCGTTAGAACAATCAACTAACTACTTCATGACTAATACCGCCGAAGTCGCACCTTCTAAGTTCGCACTGTTGTCCCTGACGAGGACGTGCGACTAGTGCGGTGTCCCCCAGGGAAGCGTGCTTGGTCCGATATTATTCGCGATCTACACGAGATGTGTCGCATCAGTAGCTGACCCGGTGCGTACACTAATGTTCGCGGACGACATCATGCTGTACCTGAGCCACGCTAGCGCTCACGTCATCAACATCACCCTTTCCGCAGCAGTGTCAGCTGTCGCCAGGCTACTCGATGCCAAAGGGCTTATCCTCAACACCGGAAAGACGCAAGTGCTTGCAATCAAAGCTGGACGGCAGGCACACCTCGACCTCCACATTACTTGCACTGGCACGCCTCTTGCCCAGACCAGTACGGCTCGCTACCTCGGAGTCACTCTGGACGAAAATCTTCGCTGGTCACCGCAAATCACCTCTATCTTCCGACGCACCGCTATGAAACTGCGGATCCTCCGCCAGATCCGGCACTGCCTAACAGTGCGGCAGGCGATGCTGTATTACTCTGCCCTTGTCATACCGGATATTCTATATGCGTCGAATGCGTTTCTCCCAGGACTGTCCGCTGAGCTGCGGAACACAGTAGCCAAACTGGATAAACGTTGCATCCGTTGCGTGGCCGATGAGCACCCATTGGCCCACACTCTTCCCCTGTACACCAGGCTGGGTGTCTGCCCAGTGCTGGAACGAGGGGAATGCAAGCTCCGACTCCTGACATTTAGAATCCGTTCTGGAATCGTCAGTGAGCTGTTGTCGTCCCGAATTGTATTGCAAGGCCCGCCGACAGGCATGACCACTCGAGGTCAATTGGGACGCAACCTTCCCCTCCCCTGGCCCACAGTGCTTCTGGCGCATGCCGACCGCTTCTAGCCAGCTGCCGACTCTGGAATGGCCTGCCCGACTGTATGAAGTCCATAGTATCTGTCCGTGAATTCAAACGCATGCTACGCGTATTCTACTTCGGTTAAATGTAATGGCTTGCGTAACCTGCTGATGAGACTCGATAGAATCATGCTACGATGACCCGACTTGTAAATTTGAGATCCATTTTTTTCTGCTCGTCTTGACCCTGCCTCCCCTCATTGCTACTTCCGTTTTCGTATTTTTATTTTCATTTATTTTCTCTTCATTTCTGACTCTTCTTACTGGTTGTCATCGCTTTCATAATATTGGGCAGAACTGCCCGTTTGCCATGCGATGTAAAATAAATAAACAACAACAACAACAACAACAACAACAACTAGTTGTTGGAGGTGAAGTTATGCGATCGTGGAATGTCTCAGTACTCCTTGCCATTTTTGTGCTAGATTGTGCACGTCTGACTGTTCAAAATCTGGTTTAGTTGTGGGACTCGATCTCATAACTTGTGCCCACAGTTTTTCATGTTACAATAATGCCAACAGCATACATATACAGTCCAGTTCGCTAATAACGACTGCGGATATAACGACAATTCGCGAAAAACGACATAATTTTCATGCCCATAGCAAAGTCCCATCCAACTGTGACACATAATTATAATGGGACTTCGGGTATAACGACACTTCGCGAATAAGG